AGATGTCCCATCCACACTTACTAGACTGTGGTCATGCACTGTAGCATTCTTCCTGGGGTTGGACCATCTCCAAGATTTCATGTCATGCCTGTGGCTGCCAGTGCCACCAGGGTGCATCTCCACTCAACCCACCAACTTCCAAGAGTGGTCCAACATTGCAGAAGGATCAAGGCACACACCGCTATGAGCTGCCTAATGCTGGATTCCCAATTACAAGGATCTTGTTCATGGGCCACTTAACACCTTGAAAGTTGACATGATTGTCAGGTTTCAGTCATCATCCCTACCTCATCTCATCTGTTTCTGTCTTGCACAACCCTGCCATCCCATACAAGCCTGCCGTAATACAAAGACTTGGGGAAATGTCTTCCTTCTACCTAACAGACACCTGTTCCTCACCTGCAGATATTGTCTCCCCTCTTCTCCTTTCATTTGTTCTTGTCCTAATGGTCCCTGCAATCCCACAGGTTTGCAGCTCCTTATGGTGGCCTAGAAGTCAAACAGAAACTCTTAGTTGGGTGTCCTAGCCTGGAGACTATGACCCTCACTCTGGAGGACACCAGTCCCAGGAGTACCAACACCCTATAGCAGTGGTTGAGCTTGGAAACAAAACTTCAACTCTTACCACTACTGTCCCTGAACCACTATCTTTTTTATTGGTTCTTTTTATTTGTACATGACAATAGAATCCATTTCAATATAATTAAACAATGATGAAATATATCTTTTTCTAATGAGAACTCTGGTCTTTTGGATGTACATGATGGTGAGATACACTGTGGTGTATTCATATTTGTACATAGAAAATTTATGTCGGATAGCACTCTCTTTCCTTTTCTTATCCACCTCTTTTTCCTTCATTCCTCTTTACATAATCTAGTAAAATTTTATTTTCCCTTCCCCACTCATTGAGGGTTAGCTTCTACTTATCAGAGAGAACATTAAGCCTTTGGTTTGTTGGGTTTGGCTTAATTCACTTAGCATGATAGTCTCCAGATCCATCCATTTACTGGCAAAAGTCATAAAGTTATTCTTCTTTATGGCTGAGTAATATTCCATTGTGTATGTATCCCACATTTTCTTTCTGCTTTAATCTGTTGAAGGGACCTAGGTTGGTTTCATCACTTACCTATTGTGAATTGAGTTGCTATAAACATTGTGGTATGCTGATTTTAAGTCCTTTGGGTATATACTGAGAATTGGGATAACTGGCTCAAATGGTGGTTCCATTCCAAGTTTTGTGAGAAATATCCACAGTGCTTTCCAGAGTGGTTGCACCAATTTGCAGTCCCACCAGCAAAGTGTGAGTGTACCTTTTCCCCCACATCCTAGCCAAACTTTATTGTTACTTGTATTATTGATAATTGCCATTCTGATTGAAATCTCTGTGCAGTTTTAATTTTCATTTCTCTAATTGCTAGAGGTGTTGAGCATTTTTTTCATATATTTGTTGATTGATTGTATATCCTCTTCTGAGAAGTGTCTGTTCAGATCCCTGGCCCATTTATTGATTGGATTTTTTGGTGTTTAGCTTGTTTTTTTCTTTATATACCCTAGAGATTAGTGCTTTATCTGATGTGTGAGGGTTAATAATTTGCTCCCAGGATGTAGGCTCCCTGTTCATCTCACAGATTATTTTTTTTTGCTAAGAAAAAAAAAAACATTTTAGTTTGAGTCCATCCCATTTTTTGATTCTTGGTTTTAATTCTTGTGTTATAGGACTCTTATTAAGGACATTGGGGCCTAATCCCACATGATGAAGATTAGGGCCTACTATTTCTTCTATTAGGACACAGAGTCTCTAGTTTAATTCCTAGATCCTTGCTTTAGGTGTGAATTTGTAAAACTCCTGTACCCAAACAAATTTTTGATGTATTGTCAAGTCTGACACCAAGTACACTTATGCTTAATGTGTTTGTAAAAACCAAAGAATTTTGCGATCTCAAATGCTTTAGAAAAGTTCTGCTATCCATAACTTGAAATTCAAAAGCAGTATCACTTGCTAGGTATGCAATTGTGAATTTAAATACAATTTAAATAAAATGTTAAAAATTGAGATGAAAAATAAAGCAATCTATGTGAAATGTAATGCCTATTTCTTATGGTGTCCCATTCACACCTCAGATCAATCATTTAGTGTAAATACTGTAACTTCTATTTCAGAAATGCAGATACAAACCAAATGATGTAAGTACATATCCCACCATTGCAATGTCAGTGTGTGTTGAGAATCAGCATGGGAACCCATGGCTGCTTCATACCATAGTCAGTAAGGAGAAAGTGCATGTGGGACTCAAATAATTTTGCCCCAGTGAGGGCCCCTAGTTTCCCCGTCCCCTCTGTCCTAACTGGGTCCTAATTCTTCATACAGCTTGATGGTCTATGTTTTTCTCAGATAGTTAATGGAAAAAATGGGATACTTTACATTTACTCCCACTTTTGATATGAAAAATAGGTTTTCAGTTGTTTTGCATCATGAATATTTTCAAACCTCTCTAAGAGGGAGAAATTATTGCTGTTTATGATCCCCTTGTAGTTCCAAGAATGGTTGATTTTTATTGGGGTCCTTGGTTGAATGATTTTCTCTTGGGATTTAAGGATGTAAGGAGTTCAAAGTTTTAGTTCTTGGATTGTGTATATTTATAAGGGTATAATGCAGGAAATGGGCAGCTGGAAAGACTTCTGAATAAGATGTGGCAACTTTTTACAAAGTTTCATATGAAGGGAACCTGGAACTGCAGCTTCGCTGTCTCAATATTCAAAGTGGGGTCAATTGCTAAAAATGATGCAATACAGAAGTCTCTGAAGATGTGAATGCCTAGCTCTTTGTTGCTCAAAGACTTACCTAGAATTTAGTTCCAGACAATAGAAAAAGAGGTTTTATGTCCTAATTCATTTTATGAAGCTAGTGTAACTGTAATACCAACATCAAAAATGCAGCACCTTTTTTGAAGAGGCTATCTTTTCTCCAATGCATTTTTTGGCACCTTTGTCTAATATCATAAATTAGTGCAATCAAATATAGATGTAAAATAGTATTAAAATAAAAATCCTAATGAAATTGATAATGAGCTTGTGAGACTGTTTTAAACAAATGCAAGAAGGAGAACAATCTATGCCAGCAATGTGAAGAGATATCACTAAAGATTACATTCATATTAAAATAAAAATAAAATGTTTCTTTAAGGAATAAATGTGTAACAATATAAGAAACGTCTGTATTATTTGAAAATGTACCCTATTGATTGCAAGAGACAATAGAAAAATACGATACACTATTTGATAGTTTATGAATAAAACTTTGTAGAAAACCTTTAAAAAAATACTAAGCCATGCTCATAGAAAAGATGTCAGTTCTCCCAAATTTGCTGCATAGATTTAATATCATTTAAATAAAAATTCCATGAGGGCATGTCATGAAATTAAAGTGAAAAAATAAAAAAAGAAGCATATGCTGTTTGGGGATACTCTTTGTATTAAAACTCTAAAGGAAAGTGAGGGAATAATTCAGGACAGTTGTTATCTTTGGGTGATGAAGGAGAATATGAGCAGGGAAAGGCACAGAAGGGCTTCAAACAATTGGTGGTGCTCTATTTCCAGCTGTTTTGTGGTAAATATAGTTTCATTTTAAAATTTTTTTTCTTTAAAGCTATACATATATGTTTATACATGTTGTGTGTGTGACATTTCTATAATTCAAACCCTTAAATAAATGAATGAACAACACCATAATTCTAAAAATGGGTAGCATGTAATATCTTAGAGATGTCCTAGATGAAATTGAACCCTAAGATTTTTCTCTTAATCTTCATTAAGAAAAGGAAAATATCTTCAACTGGGAACCATAGCAACTTTGTTTTTGCTAAGAGTTGCAGGTCTGGATTTTCCTCCAAGACACTGTCTTTTTACTCTGGTACAAACTCGTTTGAGTCCATCATTGTGTATTATTGTAAAGCAAATACCTGCCCAATATTTCTGGAAAGGGCTCAAATTCAATAAAGAATAAGATTGCATAACCATTTTTTTTAAAAAAAGATAATTGTAATTTTGTGGGTTAGTTTCTGGGTCCTCTGTACTGTACCATTGGTCTACCAGCCTGTTTTGATGCCAATACCATGCTGTTTTTTGTTACTATTTCTCTGTAGTATATATTGAGATCTGGTACAGTGATGCCACCTGCTTCACTCCTTCTGCTAAAGATTGCTTTACCTATTCTGGGTCTTTTATTTTTCCAGATAAATTTCATGATTGCTTTTTCTATTTCTATGAGGAATGCCATTGGGATTTTGATTGGAATTGCATTAAATCTGTATAGTGTTTTTGGTAGTATGGTAATTTAGATAATATTAATTCTGCCTATCCAAGAGCAAGGCTAACACCATTCATGAAGCTATACATAAAATCTTAACAAATGACTAATACACCAGACTAACAAAAAAGTATAACATGTCGTGATTAAAAAGTTTCCCCTTAGGAATGCAAGATCAAATGGAGCAACTTAAAAATGTATTTTGCAACATTAACATATTAAGGAAGAAAAAAAATCATATGATTACCTCAACACACTATAAGTGTTTGTTGAAAGTCAATATATGTATGTATTCAGGAGCAATAGTCTCAGCAACGTTGGAATAGAATGGAAACTTTCTTATTCTGGCAAAGTATAACTATGAAAAACCAGACACACAACAAAGTGTTTAAATTTTCCATTTCCTATCAGGCATAAGACAGCAGAACCATTACTGGTTTCACTCAAACCATTCCTGGGTGAGTATATCCAATGTTGTATAATATGAATACAAACAAATGCATGATATTTTGAAATGGCAGAAATAAGCTGCCATTATTCAAAAATGATAAAACTGTGTATGCTTACAGTCCAAAATATCCAGGAATGTCTATAGAATAAACAAGTTTAGCAAGGGTACTGGGTAGAAAATCAGTATATAATTTACCTACTCCTACAATCTCAATCATAGTATAAAAGTTCACAACTTATATAGCTTTCAATAGTATTTTATTTCCAGTAGAAGTTTAACAAATCACATTCATGACTTCTTTGGAGCAAATTGTAAAACTTTATTGAGAGAATTTGAACTTGAAATCTGATATAAGTGCAGGCTTCGTAGTTTTAGCTTGTCTTTGTGTAACCTTCTTGCCATGCTTGATCTATAATAGAAACATAACTGTTGGGAGAATTTGTAAGGAGACTTTTATTTATATGAAATTAAAGGTTTACTAAGGAAGCTACAGTTTGGTTTCATAAAATGAAACCAAAGACTCACCATTTGGCTTACATTCAGATAGAACTCTGTTGTGACTTTAAAAATTGACTTCTAAGCATAAAAATATAACTAGATTTTAAACTTGCCATAGTTCCTAGTGGCACAAAGATACCAAGAGACCATTTGAGTTCAGAACAGATTAAATCAAATGAATTTATAAAAGGGTATTTTCAAGGACAGAGGAAAAATGGGTATACAAGCCATAAGTGCAATCAACACACAAAATTCTGAGAAACAAAGAAATTTATGAAAAGTGAATGATTAAAAATCTTGGCTCTAAACAATATTTCAAATATAAGATAGCTGAAATAGTGTCCCGTTTTCAACTGCAAAAGATAAGCTCAGTAATGAATTTTGTTGTCTACTGTGCTAATGTGCAGAGTTCATTCTTTGGGCAGGTTTACTGGTTTAAGAGTAGGGTGACCATATGTTCTCAGTTTTCATCTATACTCCAGGTATAAATATGAATAGCACTTCTACATACACTTGAAAATAATTCTTTTTTATATTAATTATATGATCAAACATTTTCCAGGCCATTGCCCTCATTTTTCAGGTCAAAATATAAATTAGACATATGGCATATCTCACAATGTTTGGGGAGAGAGAGAGGGGGGAGAGAAAGAGAAAGTGGGATGGGTTAGAGCAGGGAGGGAAAGAGAAAAAAGAAAGGAAGAAAGGGAAGGGGACAGGGCAGGAAAGGGAACAGCTTACAAATTTCAAAAGTGCTCCCATGGTATTCATGGTATGTTTTTCATGTTTAGCTTGAGGTACCACAGGATGTATTAAATAATGCATGCTTTCCTAATATATAAACCATTGATCCATATTTGTTTGTGGGACTCAAGATTGATCCCAGGGCCTTGTGCATGTGAGGCAAGGACTCTACCAACTGAGATATATCTCTAGTCCCATTGATCTAGTCCCATTGATCCATGTTTTGAAAATAAGAATTAAAAAATATATTCCTTCACAATTATACAATCAATTCAATACCTAATAGTGTCACAGTCTTTATGGGTTGTTTCCATTTTCTTCACCATTATGTAAACTCTACTGAATATTCTCTTCATAGCTGTCTTAAAAACGAGCCATCTATCTAATTTATTAGTTGGAATATTCTTAGTTTTACTAAAGATTCACAAACATCTTCATATGTATCTCTTTCTCCTGTACTGTTGCTTATACTATTATCTTTTATTTTGAATAATCACATAACTTGTTACCTATTTTAAAATGCATTCACTTCAAGGCCATGGTCTTCTTAAGAGAACATTTCAGTCCTAAGTACTTGGAAAACTTCCTGTAATGTAAATACCCTAATGGAATTGATCAGCAATATGGAGTAAAATATTTAGAAGAATAATGCAAAATAATTTCTTCCATAAACATCAAGTGCTTCATTAAAGTCTGAAGCTCTTGGTAATAAGGGTCAGCAAATTGAAAAACACACGTGGAAACAAAAAGTTGACCCAGAGAGGAAGTACTGCAATTATAGTCTTTTAACTTCAACTTCTAACAATTGACATATCAAGGAAGAAACAATAATATGCCACCTAAGATACAGTTCAAGGTGATTCTATCCTATGGTGTCTACAGTCTTATTAGGAGCAGTAGCTCATGAACACTGGCAATGGGACAGGAAGTGCTTAGTGTAGGCACCTTACAAGCACCTTGAGCATTACCCACCTACACACACACTCTCCCTAATTCATTAGTCACAGAAAGTACAAATGAGACTATTTCCATTTCATTTTTCAGTCATCCTAGTCTTCATTTGGTGAGGGATTTAAAATACAATTATTAATTAAAAGAGGATTTTGAGGTTGATATTAAGAATAGGAACTTAGGTCTCCACACAGAAAATAAACACCAAATAATATTTCTTCATTTGCTTAGTAACAATGAAATCTGAATTCATATGTTACAATTTTATGATAAGAAATATTTTATGATTAACAAATCCTGCAAACCAGTATGTACTTATATTCCAACTAACAGAACCAGAGAATGCAATAACCAGCATTAAAGTGACTTTATTATATTGAAGCTCCCTATTTTTTTAATCAAAGATGGGTTTAAAATTTAATGTGTCTTCCACATGTCCACAAGAATCCACTTCAGTGACTTAACAAATTGAGAAACAAAGGTGTTGTGTACTTTTTGAACCAGAAATTATAAAACAATATGAAAACAGTTACCTGTTGATGAAAGGTCTCATTCTCAAAGGTTAGAAAATGCTTTCATAGTGTGTGATTCAATGTAGCTGTGAATCAATTTTTTTCTCTATGTGATAAGTATTTAAGACAAGCAGTCAGGCATTTGGATTCTGATGCCAAAGGATCTTTTTATGTGAACTGTTGTTAATGTAGCAGTAATGTCAGCCCCACATCTATAAAGGGATAATATTGTGAAAAATAAATGTATATAATTTTGCACCTTGGAGGATAGCATACCTGCTTCTGGCAGTTGACTGTGCTCTACATTGGACATAAATTTACCCTGACAGCAAGACCATCTTCTTGTATACCTCCAATTTTTAGCTGAGTCTGTTCCTAGAGATCAGCTTCCAGGTCAGTCCCTTAAGAACAAAAATGTTTCTTGAGTGACATCAACATGATGGAGGAAGGAGGAGAATCCTGACTTTCCTTTCTCCAATGGATGCACTGCATAAATATTTATACATATGTCAATACTCTCTGAGAGAAATACAGAAGCAAAAGTAGAGAGACCTACATGCCAGAAAAGAGAATTTCCACAGTTACATGAGGAGTATAATCTGAGCCACACCTTCTCCATCAATCCTACCCAAGGAACAACCTTATAATCAGTAGAGAATACCAAACTCCCAGCTTCTCCCTAACAGCAAAGGGTTTGGACCACACATAAAGCTCCTCTACTTTTACTGTTCCTGACCTGAGTCGTTGCCTTCCTAGCTCTGGAAGTGCAAGGGGTTTGATATATGGGAGTTCCCTGAGATCACAAAGGAAAAAAGACATGTTTTAAGACAGGCATGGGAGCACATACCCCTGCCCTAGCTCATCTACCTGGATTAAATCTATTTCTCTCTCTCTCCCCCTGCCCAGTACTGGCGAGTGAACCCAGGAATATTTTATCAATGAAATACAGCCCACCACCCTGTTTTTGGAGACAGGGTCTTGCTAAGTTGCTCTGGGTAGCCTTGAACTTGAGATCCTCCAGCCTCTCTCCCAAGTTGCTGGGACTACAGGTGTGTGGGCCACCATGACTGGGGCTTTAAACTTTATTTTAAATATCAAATCTATTGATAAACTACACTGGAATTATATTACTTACATTTTACCATAGTGTACTCTGAACCATTAGCTATCAAGAACCTGAATTCTACACCAGGGATAGAATGGAAGTTACACCTAAAATATAATTTTCAAAAGCATCAGCCGAGTGGATTTCTAGGCCTATCACTGACAAAATCATGACATTCTTTTGTTTATTGTGGGCATTGTGTTCAGTTGTTTTTGGAAATCCCTTAACAATAAACTGTCAAAATAATTCATTACTTGAATTATGCAGATGTTTAGCTTGAATATACTACTGGAAGAAATCATTTCTGGGACCCACACAGGAGCCGAAACTCAAGCCCTGGCCCAGGACCACCCCACCAACCAGCAGACCCATGCAGGAGCCCCACCCTGCTGAAGTCTGGCTTGGCACAAATCAGGAGCCACTTGTCAAAAAGAAACTAACTTTATTTTTAGAACTACAAACGCCAAACAAAACAGCTC